CAAAAGATTGTTTTGTATATGAACTGAATTAAATCAGACTTTTATTTTGAAATATTCGGTTACCAAAAATGGATGTGTCGCCACAAGTTTGTGAAATTGACATTGATGTTGTGTGGCTGCACTGTGTTAAAATAAGACATCCTTCCATGTGTGTCTGTGTGATATATTCATTGTGAAGCTAAATTAAAGCAGTAGGCTAACTTGCTAATGGTGAACATGTCAGTGTGTTATTAAACTGGCAGCACAACAGTGATAAACGAGTTTTGCGAGGGAACGCAAAAAGAAAAAAAAATCTCCCATGTCCCCTCGCAGGCTCTGTAATTTTCAGAACTATTTGCAACATGCAAATAGCACCAAGCTTCTAAGAGTTAGTGTGATTAAAACTGTAAATGAAAGGCAGATTAACACAGTAATTAAATAGTAAAACATGTTTCTATTGTACTTTTTTTAATAGAGTATGTTTTCTGGTATTGTATTTTTGATTATTATTTAAATACAACAGAGTTGGTCAGTTAAACCCTAAAATCTTCTGTGATTTGGTATTCATACTAAGACCTAACGAATCGATTAGTTGCAAACAAACAAACAAAGAAAAACTCACAATGTACTCTCTGATCAAGCCGTGTCTGTTATCAGGAGGACTCCAGGAAACTTGTACTGTCCCATCCTTATCGTTGTCACAAGTCAGCTGCAGGTTCCTGGGAGGGTCAGGCACTGCACCACATCAACACATTAATATTAATCATCAGTGAAAAGCAAACAAGCCCTGATAATCAGTGATGTTATTGATTAAAGAATAAATGTTGATTCAGCTACAACAGACAGCAGTGACACATGTACTCACGTCCCTCAGGGGTCCTGATTGTGATCATATCGTTGGTCTTGTGGAGCTTCCTGAGACACTGAGTGAGCACCTTCACATGGTACGTGGTGTCAGGTTTCAGCACAGTGAGCTTGTAGCTGGTTTTGTTGCTGTGGGTCTCCATGATGATCCACTGCTGGGTGCCCACAAGCCTCCACACAGAAACACATCGGAACAGTCATTAGAACCTTTAGGCAGAATGTGACGCATCATCTGTAACTCTGGCAGAACGTTGTTAGCATGGCTGACAGGTAACTACAGAGACAACAGTGGTCTGACCATTGAAGCCCACCTGTAGTAGATGAGGAAGTAGCAGGAGTTCAAGGGGAGGTTTTTAGGACGAGACCAGGTTAGGGTGACGGCACCCAAGAAGTCTGGTGTCCACTGGAGATTCTGGACTTTGTAGGCAAGTGAGTCAGCTGGAAAACAACACAGAGAGTGGATTCTTCAGTTTCAATGGGTTTGTTTGTTTACAGATCAATTCATTCCTGAACTGATCGCTGGCTGTGCAGCTTTCAAAACTGTTTGTCAAAAGGTCGAGTACTGACCTCTGCCCACATAGCACACTTCAAACCTACAATAACAACAACAACAACAACAACAACAACAACAACAACAACAACAACAACAAAACAATCACAATAAACAATAATAATAATAAGAAGAAGAAGAAAGTTCTTCTTGCAGTTTTGATGCCCTCGCCTCCCTGTAGGCTGTATCTTGAGCGATTATTTTATTTTATCTCACCCTCTCCTGAGCTGCAGTAACGTGTTGAATCAGTAGTTTTATCTTATCTTATCCCAACATTTTTGGAACTGGTTTGTGTTTGCAGCTTCACATATCACACACAGTGTTATTTCTGCCAGGATTGGTTTGTGTGTTTATAGACAGTTTGACTGTAAGTAAAGCGTCATCATGTGCAGGGCTGCACACATAACTTAATGAGGGTTGTGGAAATACATGCTGTGCATGCACGGTCGTATTCATGTGGGAATACACATGATAAATGCATGAGTGCAAAGTAAAAACCATTTTACACCCAACTTGTATAAAACACAAAATGCTGGGTTAAATGTCAAAATGAGGGTATAATTTAGAGGTGGGACGAAGCGACCAGCACCACTCGTTTCCAGAAGTAAAACTGTACACAACAACAAACACTAGGTGGCAGCACTGGACCGGTTTAGACATAATTACAAACTGCACTTCATGCAGGATTCTGTGTGGTTTTAAAACCAAAGTGTTACAGGAAATGCTGGAAACCTACAGGTGCAGTTGTCCTCATCGCTGTGGTCTGAGCAGTCCAGGAAACCATCACACCTCTCATTGTCCAGAACACAGGCTTCACCGTCAGAGCAGCGAGTCCCGTTAACACACAGGAGAGGCTCTCGAGTGGCTGAAAACAAACAGTGACCTTTTATTAAATGTTGCATGATCATACAAGCTGCTCCTTAGTATCAGTGAAACCGACCTGAAATAAATCACAAAGATGTACTGCAGTCAACCAATGTCTGAGATGTAAATAATTAATTTATGAATACTGTACTTTTAAATAAAACAAACTTAAGAAGATGAATATGAAAGACATTCGTCCATTCACAAACACATTTTTCATAACAAAATTACCCCTAAAACGTAGAGCTGTATCAAAATCTGATTTATGATTAGCTCTCATGTGCAGATTCAGATTTTCTTTAAGTGAATTAACCCGTAAAAATAAAACACATTCATCCAAGATCTGCTGTCTTAAAACAAACATTCCTCATTTAATCAGTTCTTTTGTTGTTGTTGTTTTAACGCTGCTTTATTTTGCAATTAATGTCGCTTTTTGTTTACATGATCAAATATGTACTTTCATCTTGGTCCCAAACTGAGGCAGAGTGTTATGATTTGTGTCTGTGTTAACGTTTTATTTTAGTTTCTGTGTTAAAGTTTTATTTTAGTTTCTGTGTTAAAGTTTTATTTTAGTTTCTGTGTTAA